TTCAATTTTTGAAAAATAGTTTAAATCTTTCAAAAATGAACTAACAAAGGCAAGAAGAAAAGGTAAGTGAGGAAATGAATGATTTCTTTGCTTGTTATGTTTTTATTTTATTATTAAAATATATTAATTTTTATTAACGAAAATAACATTTTTCTCAAGTGTAAGTATTGAAACATAGTAATTAGCTATAATACTTATTTATTAGTCATATTATTAAAAAAATTATCAATTAAATTATGTTATCATAATTACATAATATGTTTTCTGTATAAATGAAAATAAAGTATATTGGTATGCATTTTTATTAATTTTTTATTTAATATATGGTAAATAAAGGAATTTAACTTAAAATGGTTTTAAGTTATGTTTATTTAAAATAAAATATTAAATAAAAATACCTTAAAAAAGTAGAACAACAATAAAAGAGTGGGTTTTTTTTTTTTCTAAAAAACGTGGAACTTTTTTTTTTTTTTGTGGGTGAAAAAAGTGTGAACGAGAGCATGTTGTTTTGGACACTCAACGGCCCAAGCCTCACGTAAACAAATTTGAGACTGTCTTTTGTTTGGGGAAGTTTCCTGTAATGTTGACACGTGTATGAAGCAAAACTTATGAGAAGCTACTATAAAAATATTTATCTGAGTTATTTAAAATTTTACATGCTTTAATGCAAAGCCAAAATGTAATTAATAACTGGTTTCGCAATTATCTTATATATATATAATATCATTAATATATATTAGTTAGATATTTTATATTAATAATAAAATTTTTCAAACTAATGTATCTCATGCTGTGGCTTCAGTTTTAGCTTGATTGCAAGTAAAGTTTACTGGTTGAATGAGCTTTTTAATCGTTTCATTTGGTAACATGCACTGGGTAGCAAAGTCAACAATGGTCCCATTTTAGTTTCACTTTAGCATTCAAGTTTCGACAAAATATAGGAAGTGATGGTGTTTTGGGACCGCATCGTATTCAAAGAAATTACACGACACGTGAACCTAAAGAGTCTTATTTTCTTATATAGCAGTGCATGGATAACCATCCACGTTAAGATCCATTGGTTCTTGGCAAAGTTTGCTAATTTCTGCGACGTGCTAGAAAGTACTTCGCCGCAGAAATTGGGCAGCATTATCTTTGTGGGTAATGATGTGACCTTCCGCGTGAAGAAGCATCGAATTTGACAGATTAATTGTATGGCACGAAGCGAGCGGTGAACAGTCCCTTTCACCTTTTCAATAACCTAAGCTACCCACAGAAACCTTTTCTATTGTCTTCAGTCTTTCTCCCCAAGTAAGATGACATTCCATGATACTTTTTCTGTAATTTACCATTAATGCTATATTTAAAAAATGGGCATGGAGAGAGATTGACGCTGCTATATATATCGTAAGTTCCTTTTTGCATATACTTTTTTAGGTTTTTCGGTATATTTTGTGCTTTTTATTATTATTAATAAATGAATGGTTATAATACTATTTATTTTCAAGTTTTTATGTTTTTATAAATATTAAATAAAAATAGTAAAAATTTAAACATTTAAACATTTTTTCTAAAACCAATTGCAAACAAATTTTAGTGTTTATGGTCTTGAGATGTGTTGGGCTCGTTTAGATTAGTTTATAATTAATTCGAAATTTTATAAGTTATTTTTATTTTATTTTAATAAAAATTTTATATATTTTATCAAAACAAGTTATTTTTAAATTATTTTAATGAAATTGTAATTAAATTTATGATATAATTTTTTAAAATTAAATAAATAATTAAATTATATATTTAAATATGTTTTTGTAAGTAAGCGTTGGCATATATTAAGCAAATGAAACACTTTTTTAAGGTCTCCATTCTAAAAAAATTGTGTATCCTTTGTCACTTTTTTAATTTAAAGAATAAGAAATAAAATCTTTAACAAAAATCAACAGATACTTCGTAATAACAAGTGTTTCCTTCTAAATATTTATAAATTGTTTTAGTAGGAAAATGAATTTAAATATAAAATTAAAATTATGAAAATGTAAAATTTAAATTTTATTATTAACAATTTTAAATAAAATTAGTTAATTTTAAAATTTACCAATTTAAAATTCATAAAATTAATTAATTCTATTTAAAATTTTTCAATAATAGTTATATTTTCATTATTTTTTACATAATTTCATATCTTGATTATTTTTCAATATCATATAAAAAAAACATGTACAAATTCGTGATAACAAGTTTTTTTTCTTCAAAATAATAACATGCCTGTAGTCTCCAAATTGGTAAGTTCTATGGTGTCGGCTGGCCACGTCAGCAACGGCTGACTCTGCCCTAAAATCACAAAAACAGTGGCAATTTATGATAAGCAATGGTGTGAACCTCCACATTATGGACTATAACAATTGATAAATTAGTAAATTTTAAGGATGTAGAAAAAGTGACATTTTTAGAAAATTTATAAAAAATTAAAAAGTTATCGTTTATTTAAAGATAATTATAAGAAGTGTTTTTTTATTATAAGAATAGTTATAATTTTTATATAAAAATATTTGTTCATGAATTGATTTTAAACAAATTAACTGACGAAGTTTGGATGAAGTCTCTATTATTTTTCAGGCAACCTAGGTTGGCTACGTAAACCTTTTTCCTACTATTTCTCTAGTCATATAAGGAGTCAATCTATGAATAATTAAACCAACACAATTTTTCTATACTTTAGTCCGTTCTCCAATTATTCAGATTTCACAAATTAGAATTGTAATGTACAAATGGCTTATCATTGAATTAACAATTATCAATATACAAATTAAAACATTAATATAAAAATAATGAAATAATGACTTATTTTTTTTATTGGATAAATGATATGAAAGCAGAGATAATTCTAAAGTTCGACATTTTTCCAATCGGTAGATGACACTTTTTAACTTATATTAATAATTTTAATGATCCATCTATGACAAGTATGTATTTAATTAATTTATCCAAACACATTTAATACCACCTTTTGAATAATTATAAATCATTAGATGTCCCATTTTAGAGGAATGACAGTATTTATAACAGCAGGAGGTCTTAGATTTGCTTTGTTAAAGAATGATTTTGATGACCAACCAATTAATACACCAGCCTTTTCCTGAGCACTCAATTTTTCTCCCTATAGCTGATGGATACTCCTCAAGCATAGGGCGACATACATTGTTATTAACTTATTGTGAATTTATATTTATTTATTTATACACGCAACTCAAGTAAAGCCTATATTTATTTAATAAATAAGTGAAAACTTTATTAGAAACATGCTAGATAAAAAAAAAGTCTTATTTAAAAAGTTTTTCAAGCTAATTGACTTGTTTACTCAAATAAACTTAAATAATATAATTATTGTCATATTATTACATTAAATATTTATTAGAATTTTTTAAAATTTTATATTTATTAATTTATTAAAAGCCTTTGGACTATTACATTATAAAAGGCATAAGTCTATTATACATTGCCTTATTTAAAATAAGTTTATTAGGCTATTTAAAAAGCCTTAACGCAAAATAAGTTTTTGAATAAATATTTAAGTTAAATTATCAAAAAGGTAAAATTTTTAGATTTGAAAAATAGACCAACTTGTTTAAATTAAAGTGTGATTTTCTTTAACTCATTTCTAGTCCTGTTTGTACAAAAAAAAAAAATGCTAATCAATATATTTTTACCATGACTTTTAATATAATCTCATTGTATTTTTTTAATGAAGAAGTTATTTATTAAATTTTTAATTAATATTATTAGAACTTTTGTTAATAATATAATATAATACATTAATCAGTAATGGTTATATTATTGATAAATATATTAATTAACAATTATTCAACAAATTTAACTATTACGAAAAATACATTTCATGTCACATTAATTTGTGCACATTTTTCATGAGAATAATAAGAGTGCCAATATGAACAAGGCGAATAAAGTGGGCGCAATGGCTATAAATACCGTCGTTATGTATGTAAATGGCACAAGATTGAGAAGCAGAGAGCATCTAGAGAGAAGTTAAGAAGAAAAGAGCTTGCCTCACATATTCACACGCTGGTAACCTAACCTTTCTTCCCCTTTCAACACATATATGTATATATCCTTAATTTGTTCCTTTAATTGGTGTTGGATTCGATTATATGAACCGTTTGGCACGCACATGTACTTGCTGTGTGTCAATTTTGTCTTAGATTCTTTTGAACACGATCATTACTCAAGCAAAACCATAGCATTACTAGCCCCAACGCATCTTTGCCTTCTATATATAGTAGATATCATCAACCCAAAATAATACAACACTACCACTCCCTCCATGCATGCATGCACCATGCCAGGTAACCGGTGCTGCATTAACTTCCTGCCATGGTTCTGATATTGTGTAGCTGAAAAATAACTAAATAGAAAAATAAAAGAAACTTAAGTTCCCAGGTAAGTAAGAGTTGGTAGAAAACAAAATGAACAAAAAATAGATTTAGAAACAACTTTTCTCTGAAAGTAATATTTACTTGTCAGAATGTTATTATTTGAATATTTTAAAATTGATATCGTATATCATTATTTTTATCTTTTATGTATATACAAAATACCCTCTAAATCAAAAAAGACACTTTGAGGTGTTAATGAAACATTTTCCTATTGTGCTAAGAGGTTTTTATGATTGACCGTAATCATAGATCATGATTTTTGTGTGTTTTTTCAAGTAGGAAAAGGGATTAAAAGAAGTTGTACATATTTTCTTCTAAGAAAATTAAACGTTCTCTCTTCAATTAATAAGAATTCGAACTATATATGACTTTTCTACTTTTTTTATGCTAATAAATTTCACTAATTATTTTTTTTTCTCAAACGCATAGCAAGTGCAGAAGAACGTTAAAATGCCTCTCAACACTCCTCCGACCATTAGTGTGACAGAGCGGTTACCTAGAGTGCTCAGCAATGGGAAGAAATCAAGAGAAGAAGAGAAAGTGAGAGAAACCAAAGCGAAAAATGAACTTATGAGCCTTGCTATCACCAAAGGCAACGGGGAGACAAAGGCCAATTTGGCTGAAATAATTACTCACTACGTGGGGACACTCAATCAAAACAAATTGCATTTTCTGGGTGTGTATATCCTTCTGATGGGCTTTTCTAACAGCATAGTATAATTTCTATTATAGTTTCCTGCATAATGCTACTTGAAAATTATTTTTTTTAATACTATAACTTATAATAAATTGTTGTTCACACTCACGATTTACTTATTATTATTATAATTAAAAGTCATGGCCATAAATTACGAATTATATGATAAGTTTTTTTTCTTCTAATTGTAATCTTCATTACGAGTCAAACAAAGTAACGAAGGTTCGATTTACCAATGTCGAGTCCCTATACATATATAGTTAAAATTAAAAATTAAACCCACATATTTAACTTTAAAAATTATGTAATTTATTTAAAACATACATGATTTTATATATATTTAAAAATATTTACAATAAAAATTAATAATTGAATTCTTTTTATTCTCATTTGATATGCTGTGCGTGTAAGTCAAGCGCAAAATCAACTTTCTAATATTTTATACACTACTTGGACAAATATACTAGGTAAGCGAAACTTTATTTGATTTTGTAATTTACCCATATGTCATTACATTCCTAGCCCTAGGTGTTCTGGCAGCATATACAAAGCTGTCCTTGTTACGAAAAAAAGGTAAGCGTTATTTAGTGCCATTGATTTAATGCTAGTTATTCAACGGACCTGGGGGGTTTTTATATTTTAGTATTAAGTAGGAAATGTAAAGAATGGACAGGAATGGAGAAGAGTTTGTCTTGAGACTATCTCTCGGAACAAAATATAACATTTGAGATGTGCCCAAAAAATATATAACATTTCACAGGGTTTTTTTTTTACACCCCGTGTTTTTTATTTAAATATTGAATTCTAAAATATTGTTTTGAAAGTTTAATTTAAAAATATTCTTTTAAAAATTTAAATTTGAAAGCATTTCGTAAATTGTTTTTAAAATTTAATTATAAATCGGTCACTTTCAAAATTTAATTTTTTGAAAGTAATAGAAAAGACCTAAGGTACAAAAGGAGTAAAAAGGAGAGCACAAAATGAAAATCTGCTCTCGGAATAAGAGATGAGAATGAATACGTTAACCTGACCCTCATAAATTCTACGCCTGGTTTGGATTTTAGTTATAAAACCTATAGCTTGACTCGTCGACTTGTTAGAGGTTTTTCCTTAGGTTTCTAATTATAAAACCTAAATCGCTCTTAGATGAGAGATCAAATAAAAAAATAAATAAATGAGATAGATAAAAAGAAAAGACTAAAAAATATACTATTTAGATAATTTAATAAAAAAAGATGAAAGAAAATTCTCTTTACCTATTTAAATAAACAGATGAAAAATAAATAATTAAATATATAAACAAATTTAATTAACCAAAAAGTAAATTTATCCTAAAATGTTTTGATTTTTTAGAATTGGATTTAAGTATATAATAAACTTTTAAAGAAGTTATAGACAAGAATTACAACTTCAAAATTTTAAGAAATTGTGTGTAAAAACCACAATTTTTTTAAAAACTGCATTATTTGGGAAGTTAATTTAAAAGTTACATCATACTTAAAATAAATAGATGCACACGTATACATATGCACGTGTGTGTGTGTGTGGATGTAAAAGAGTACATTTTAATTTATTGCAAGACCTCTCCTAATGGCATATCCGCAAAAGTAGGTTATCCGACTAATCTGGACTTCGACTATGATGCACTGAAACCCTTGTTGCATTTTCACCTAAATAATGCTGGTGATCCATTTATACGGAGCAGTTTTAGTCTAAATTCAACAGAATTTGAAGTTTGCGTGCTTGATTGGTTTGCCAACCTATGGAAGATAAATAGGGATGAGTATTGGGGATATGTCACAACTGGTGGAACTGAAGGAAATCTTCATGGGATTTTATTGGGGTAAGTTTTGTTGAACTTTATTTGTAAAGGCTTTTGGTATGTTACAAATAATATGCAACCAATATTACAAATAATCATTGATTAATGTCTACTGTATACGCAGGAGGGAAAAATTTTCTGATGGGATTCTATATACGTCACAGGACTCCCATTATTCAATATTCAAAATAGCAAGGATGTATAAAATGCAATGCGTGAAAGTTGGCACGTTGGTCTCTGGGGAGATTGATTACACTGATTTGAAGTCTCAACTTGCTCACAAGGACAAGCCAGCCATCATCAATCTAAATATAGGTCTTCCTTATATTCTTTGACAATTAGAACACATTACAATTTAAGAAGCTTATACAGTCACATCCTCAAACACTTGACCGAACTAATTGAAGGATTTATTTTCTTTTTGGCATATAAATTAGGAACAACTATGAAAGGAGCTATTGATGACATTGATCATGTACTACAAACACTTGATGAAAGTGGCTTCCATCGTGATCGATTCTATATTCATTGTGATGGAGCCTTATTCGGAATAATGCTACCATTTATTAAAGGAGTGAGTAAAAGTATCTACCACACTTTTATGTTTAATATAAACATTACATTGATAGTGCAGTTGACAGTAATAGTAAAAAGTGCTACCAAGAAAAAAAGAATGGAAAAATTTGTTTAAAATTGTCTATTGTCACTTTTAATTTTAATTTTTTTATTAGGAGTATATTTATAAGATAAAAAAAAGGGTATTTTAGATAAAATGACTTAAATGAAAATAATAATAATAAATAATTATAAATGACAATTTTGGATGTGGGGGCAAACCAACATTGCTTCCTATAGTAACATAGTCTGGTTTGTGCAGGCTCCAAAGATTACCTTCAAGAAGCCCATTGGAAGTATAACCATTTCTGGCCATAAGTTCTTGGGCTGCCCAATTCCTTGTGGTGTTATGATAACACGTTTAGAACACATCAATGCCTTATCAAGACATGTTGAATACATTGCTTCAAGGGATGCCACAATCACAGGTAGTCGTAGTGGGCATGCTTCAATCTTCCTTTGGTATGCTCTCCAAGAAAGAGGTTTAATAGGACTCAAAAAACAAGTAGAGGAGTGTCTCCTGAATGCACGCTACTTCTATGATCAACTGCGTAAACGTGGCATTGGTGCAATGCTGAATGAATTTAGTAATACAGTTGTCTTTGAAAGGCCTCTGGATGAAGAATTTACACGCAAGTGGAATTTGGCTTGTAAGGGTAATATTGCACATGTGGTTGTGATGCAGCATGTTACCGTCGAAACCATAGACTCCTTTGTTGTTGAATTTACTAGAAAGCAACTCATTTGTTTAGGAGAAACGTTCAGAAAGCCTCCATGCATTGCAAAGGACATTGGTGCTAAAAATTGTGCTTGTGCATTGCATAGTTCATACCCATGGGGAGAAATGATTTGACATGCCTCCTCCTTATTTATCTATGTAGAGGAAAAAGAAAAAAAATCTTATTTATATGTTTATGTAAAAGTTAAGAATATATTAATTATTATATATAGATGGAGAAGTCTAGAAATTAGAGAGACTAAGGATAAATTAGAAATTTGAATGGGGTACCGCACCAAAACTTTGCTCCATTGTCTTGGTTTCTAATCATCATAGGCTCACTTGGCTACGTGGCTAACAGCCGGTTTCACTGTCTCTGTCTTGATATTGAACAGAACAACGAATGAAAATTCAGAATGATTGTGTGGGAGAAGAGGATGATGATACGAAGAAGAACATGCTCATGCCTAAGTTGCCCACTACGTCCATTAAATTTATATGTGATGTATTTTATTAAAAATGTACATGATTCAGTTTCCATCTTAAACACGTGTTAAAAAATTGTTATTATTAAAAAATAAAATTAATAAAAAAAAAATTAAGAAATCGTGTGCAGCTCGTAGTGTATTTCTGCCGAAGAAAAGATTGCAGGGGGTGACAAACTTGATTTGCTGATACAAGCGCGGTGTGTGTTGTGTTTGTGTATACTCATAAATGGACGAATATAGTTCACAGAATAGAACACAATTAAAAATTTTAATGTTTTGAATTCAATTGAGTAAGAAAGTGGAAAGAATGTTACTCGATCGAGAATTTTCTTCAAATTGATACTTGATCTGTTTATCAATTGCAACCTGCAAAAGATCCACGTAACCCGTTTTCCGTTTCTCCTTTCTCTTTCAAATTTTGTCCTCTATTCTCTCAAATTTTGAGTGTTCTTGTTCTCCAAAAACGTGTTATTTTGTAAAATTTTGGGTTTGCAAATATTGGCAGTATTATTCGGCCTAAAAATTCATGTACATACAGCATTCATAAATATTTATCAGTTTTTATAATATTTTACTATTTTATGTTTTTTCAAATGATTTTATTTTTTTCAGATTTGGATATTTTTTTTTCAATAATTTTTAAAATTCAAAGACTTATTGAAAAAATTAAAATTGAATAAGGAACTGTAGAAAATATGAAAGTTGTACCCAAATAAAAGTGAATATTCTCAACAATGAATTAAAAAATGTAATAGGTTTCATTTTGAAAAGTTTTTAATAATTTTTTTATATTTATTTTATTTATTTATTTTTAGAACTAATAATATTACGAGAAGTGCCAATAAAAAAATGAATATTCTCATAAAAATATTAAACTAATGTAAATAAATAAATATATAATAAATATTTATATTGTTTTTAGAATATTATCACAATATTTATAACAATTAATATTAAATAAATTCAAAAATAAAATCATTTAAAACTTATTTTAGATCAATAATATTCTAAGATAAACTAAATAACTATTTACATTATTTGTTATGAGTGAAAAAAATATTAGAATTACTTTATTATAAAATTCTGATAAATAATTTTATAACTCAAATCACATGTACATAAATTAATTGATAGAGAGTTAATATTTTAATTTAACTTGTAGTATCAAGTTTAGAGTTTAAGTTTTAATAAATACAACTGTGTTATATATTAAATAAGATCGTCTCCAATAAATAATATCAAAGTCTAAAAAATGATTTTATAGGTTAAGAAACAAAAAATAATAATAAAATGTTTTTTATGTAAAATAATTAAAAATTTACCACAATATAAAAAATATTTAATTAAATCAATAATCTAAATATGTCATTATATATCCCTTAAAATATAATATAAATTAATATTTATTTAAATTTTTATGTAATAAAAAAATAGTTTATTAAATATTTTAAATATATTTATTCTTACATACTTTTTACTACAAAGTTAATTTTATGGCCATTTTAAGAATCAAATAAAAAACAATTGATGCGTATAATTTTAATATATTATTAATATAATTTTTCTACATTATCAATCGATTAATATACATGACAAATATATAATTTAATAATTATTATAAAATTCGATTATTCACTAATATATTAACGTGTGATTAAATAATAAAATAAAAATATTAATAAAATTTAATGTAATTTGTATTTTATAATCAAATATCTATCTTAAAAATTAATTAATTAATAAAGTATATTTTAATAAAATTTTAATTATTAATTATTATAAATATGATTAGTTTTACATAAAAATCTAATTTGTATTTTATTAAGCTATTTAACTAATAATTTAGTATAAAGTGCCAAAATTTCTAAAGACAGCCTTAGTCTTATCTATTTTTTAATATATTTTATAAAAATTTTGCACGTGAAAATCGTTGTCATTTCTTCCGGCTGCAATTAGTTCATGCATTTCGTTTTATCCTTCGCGTGTCGGCTGAGATGGACTTCGTATGGTCCTATTTATTTAGAGCAGTTAGACATCAACATCAATCAAGTTTAATAACTCTTACAATATTTTATATCAAATATGTAGATAAATGATAAATATTAGTGGTGTATATAAAAAATATAAATATCACTTAATTTGAGAAATTATAATTATTAATTTTAAGAAGGTACAAAATGCTCTCTCAAATTTAAACATTAATAGAATTTATAAATTTATCTCTAAGTAAATTATATATTTACAGGCATTTTAAAATATAATTTTTTATATTTAAAATAAAATAAAAAAAATTTAAATATATCATTTTTTATAAATTTTTAAAGTATGTCATATTTTATTAATTACAAGTCATTCCATATGAGAGTTTTATATATATTAAAAAATATATTTTTAAAATCTTATAATATATATATATATAATTTTTATTTATTTTATTTTAAAATTCAAAGCTAAGAAAGCCAAACAACAACGTTGCCAGAAAGAAGGTCCAGATATCCAAACGAATGATGAAATTTATTATAATGTTACGTGATTTGTTATGTTAATATATTAAATATAAAATAAGATTAAAAAAATTAAAGAATTAACTTTAAAAATATTTTCATATAAAAACTAAAACTTTCATATAAAGATACATAATTTTTTTAAAAAAAAATTAAAAATAAGATTGTGTAATTATATAAATAAAAATTTAATTAGACTTAAATTATGTATTTACGGAGTTGCTTCTTACACTTTTCCTTTTCACATCCTTGTTAAAATTTTTGTAATTTTTTTATCTCTACAATATCCTTTATATAAAATTTTAATTTTAAAAATTTATTCACCAAAAATATTTTATAGAAAAGTAAAATCTTAAATCTAGAACTTAATTTCAGAAGTATAAAATTATAATTTTAGAAATAGTTAATAATTTCATAAATCAATTTTAAAACGTTTATAAATTAAATTTTAAAATTTAATTTTTGAAATTGTAGAATGACAATATTCTAACTTTAAAAGTTCATTTTTAGAAATGGTTAATAATTCTAAAAATTAGTTTTTGAAAGTGTCAAAATTTAATTCTAAAAATTAATTTTCAAATGTATACAATAAAAAATTTGAAAAATTATCTTTAAAAATAATTATTAATTTTATAAATCAATTTCTGAAAGTATAAAAATTAATTTCAAAAGTTAGTTTTAAAAAATGTAAATTTTTTTTAAGAGTACTCATATTGGAAAGGAAAATTAACGAGTTTATTAATGAAATTTTGATAAATTTAAATAATTGACAAACTTGTTTTTCAATTGGTAACTTGCAAATGGTCCGTTAGCCAAATCAACAACGGTTGACAGACCACGCAGCCGCACTTTGACTTCGTAGTAAAATCAGAAAAACAATGACGGTGACCTTTATGGGGGACCATATTTGCTTTAGTTGTGCGCCAAGAAGCAATCAATTAAGTCATTTTCAGAAAAGCTAGAGTCGCTACCAAGAAAGGAGGCTAGTCAATTGTTGTTATTTCTCCCATTTTAGTAAATGACACTTTTTAATTTATTTTAACAAATTTTATAACCATATTTATCCTAAATTTTTCATATAATAGTAACTTATTAAGTATTTAATTACTTTGTCCAAATACATCTAATACAACCATATGAATGATTATAAAGTATTAGATGCCACATTTTAGAAAAATGGCATGAGGGATAATAATGTATTTTTAAAAAATTATATTTTTAAAATTATTTATTAAAAACGAAAATATAAAAAGCATTAATTAAAAATAAAAAATAATATTTTTTACATAATTTTTATATTTTTTAATAAATTTTTTATGTAAAAACTATAAACATATTAAAAAATATATATTAGAAAGTATATTACTTACCTTTCTCTAATACTTAAAATTAAATTAACAAGTTGCTTTTTTTGTATTTGAAAAGTAATCGCTTTAATTACTTTTATTCTTTTGAAATAATAGTAATTTTATAATTTTAAGGTAAAAGATATTTCTTAATTTTGTTTAAAGATAATTATTATTTTAAATTTTATTTATTTATTTTTGTGTCATAATTTAAATGATAAAACAGAACGAAAATGAGTATGATAACTTAAAAGATTTGTTTTGTAAAATTTTGATGACCATCCAATGCACCGACCTATGGGCGAATAGTCCATCCATAGGGCAACCTATATTTTTAATCACTTATAGTTAAATTGAATATTTCTTTATACATAGGGATAAAAGGTAGGGAAACCTATAGTTTTAATCACTTATTAAGTTAAATTGAGTTTTTATATATATACAGGGATAAAAATAAAAAATAAAAAATAAAAAAAGGTTATGTGCCTAGTCAGTGATGAAAAACGATGTTGATAAATAGACCAAACTTATTTAGACTAAAATTTACTCTACTTTAACTTATTTATATTCCGCTTGATTAATTAGAAGAAATCCATTTTTTTAGAAAATTAATTAAATAATTTAAAATAAAAGTATTTTTAAATAATTTATATATGTCATACTAATTTAGGCACACTTTTTACCTGAATAATGTGAGTGGAAGTATAAACAATGTTCCAACAGGGTGGGCACAGCCATGCAAGTTTAGGCTATAAAAAGTCAAAAATTGTTTTCTTTTTCTATCATGTGGTATTTAT